GGCATCATATAATCAGGAGATTCTATCATGCAATTCCTGAAGATCCTTAGCCTAGTACTAGCATGTTGTTCTAAACATATCACAATATCAATAACTGTATGGTATTTTGGGGTCTACTTACTGGCTCCGGCTGATCGTACACCCTACATCCTCCTTTGATATTTTGAAAACCTTTTTGAAAATCATTTTGAAAACCTTTTTGAAAATCATCTCGAAAACCTTTCTGAAAATCATTTTGAAAACCTTTTCCTTAGTTTGAGACTGGATTCACAGAAGTGTTCATCCAATTCACTCAAAACAAGGCTCTGATACCAACTTGTAACACCCATAAAAAAATCAAGCCAATTTAAAACTTTTTCAAACATCCAAAATCCATTAGTTATTACAAAGTGTTTTCAAAATAGTTTAATATCAGAGTATCCCAGAAACCATAAGTCCAAAACACAAGGATGTATACGCTCACGCCTTCGCCTTGCCAAGTCATCTGAAGCACCTGAAACAATAAACTGAAACCGTAAGCACAAAGCTTAGTGAGTTACCCCCAGAATACCGATACACATACAGTCCACATAACAATAACAGCAATACATAGCATAACGAAACAATACAGCATGCAACAGTCCACAGCTTTACAGACTGGATTACCCCTGGGCCCACAGTGTGAGTCTGGATTGCCTTCCGGGCCCACAGCTCACATCTGGATTGCCTCCGAGCCCACAGTACAAGTCTGGCATACCCTACCCGACCCTCAACTCGTATCTGGAATGCTCCCGAGTCCTCAGTATGAGTCTGGCATGACTTGCCCGACCCTCAGCTCATATCTGGAATACTTTAGGGCTTGTTGGCTACCGCACGGACCAGTACAACCTCAACCCAACCCACATAACATGTCAACATATAATATAACTAATGCACATACAAATAATCATACAGTATCACAGGTAGTCCTACCAGACTAGCATATCAACTGGCATACATCACTAGCTCAAACTCAACATATCAATAACTACTAGGATATTAAATCTAATGGGTCGGCCTTGGTGCCTTAGACCCCTTAGTATAGTGAGGATAACTCATCTGGCACCGCTGAAGTCCCGCAGATAAAACTCCAGCTGCTGGTTGAAAGGACCCTGGACTGTCAACATCAACAATACCCAATTAATAATTAGGTTCCAAGCCCAAGGTCCAACTCACACTACAAAATTGGGCCTTACTCTTCACATGGGCCTTGTCCCTTAGGCCCAACCATCTCTCCTGGTCCAAACACTTGGCATACTAACGTCCCAATCTCTCATGATCATAAAGGCCCAGGTCAAGGCCCAAGTGAAATTAGGATTTCCACATGAAATGACGATTAGGGTTAAGTGTTTCTTACGTAACCCATTAAGGACTTAATCCATTAAGTCCAATATTGCCTTAGGTTAATTTGCCAATGATTATTATTTAATAATTTAAGTTTATTAAATAATTCCACATGAAATGACGATTAGGGTTAAGTGTTTCTTACTTAACCCATTAAGGACTTAATCAATTAAGTCCAATATTGCCTTAGGTTAACTTGCCAATGATTATTATTTAATAATTTAAGTTTATTAAATATTTCATGTGTGTGTCCCGATCAATTCCCAAAAATTAGAGTTTTATGCCATTAGGGTTTTCCAAACCCTAATTAGGGTTTTCCAACCCGATACTAGCCCATTAGTCAATTGATTAGGCTTTTAGGTCACTTTGGGCCTCATTGGTCCCATTAGGGTTTCACTGGGCCCACTAGGTTTTCATCAGGCCCATTCTGTCCAAGCATCCCAAACGGATCATCACGCAAACTAAGCACACCGCCACCCAACACGGCAGCGGGTGGCGGCAAGAGGCGGCAGCCACCACCTTACGGTGGTTGTTTAGAGTTTTCTTACTATTCCGATCGATTACAATGTTACAACACGATATCCAAACACACACAAACACATACTAAGCTATACATACATAAATAACATAAACACACACACAGCCACCCTTGTGGTGGCCGGTGGTGGTCGGTGGTGTTAGCCACCACCTCACGGTGGTGGTGGTGGCCCTCTTGCGATTTCCAACCAATCAACACTCACATAACGCATCTCCGTTTTGCAAACAGCAGCAACGATAAGTCATCACGCAGACTCCTCTAATCATCCACTGCCCCATCGTCCAAGGCAGCCTTCGGCTTCGTTGACAGCAACATCGGCGACGGTAGATATGCGGTGGTTTTTTTCCGGCGTCATCAGCTATGGAGGTGGCGGTAGTAACACTCGTCTTCAACAGAAATGATGCCACGACGGTTGGAGGTGAGAATCCGGCAGCACCCATAGGTCACCGGTTGTCTTCGTTGGTCGGAAACACGCGAGGAACAGAGTGGTGGTGCGGCGCCGGAGATCGAAGGAGTATAAGGTGGTGGCGGTTGGAGGTCAAGGGTAGAGAGGGAGGTGACGGCTGGGGTTGCATTAGGGTTAGGGTATAGAAGCAATGAAACGGTTATATACCGGCTCCATTCAAACTATGATCCATATTGGCAAAACCGGTCCCTCCTTCTCTTTTTCCTTTCATATTAATTCCCAAAATTATCATTTAGCCCGTGACTCCATAAAATCCTTTCAACTTTGATCCAATATTTACCAAATAACCCCATCTTTCATAATTCCTTACAATTCAGGTACAATACTTCCTAAACACACCCTAACTTCTGAAATCCTTTTCAAAATAAATTCTAAAATTACACTTTAACCCCCGGACTACCATCCCGATAATTTATTATTCGATTTTGGGCTATAATAATCTAAAATAATAATAAAAATTACTTCTCGGGGTTCCGAGTTTATTATTTGATTATTCTATTTTAAACGGGATGTTACATGTGGTTTTGTAGGGTTAGAAAAACTAATTTCCCTTGTTTAAAGGAAATTAAATGATTTAATTATGTACCATAATTAAGCATTGCAAAGATTACTATTTTACCCTATCTAGGTTTTTGAAATGATTGGCTCACAATGATTCCTATATCCACACAATAAATAGTTAGAATACATGAACCTACATCTCTCTCTCTCCCCTCTCTCTCTCTCTCTCTCTCTCTCTCTATAGATATCTATTATTATATAGATATATATCTATATATATATATATATATATATATATATATATATATATTATAATACACACACACACACACACATACACACATATAGCTCAAATAAAAATAGTAAATAGTGTGAGAACGTAAAAACACTATTTTTATGTTATTATTCTGCAATGATTTTATATCTACAGTTTTATATCATTATTCATAAATGAATAAATGAATAATACAGATTAAAACTAAAACTAAAATTTACTACAAAAATACGCATACATAAATTTATAATAAAATAATAACATTCTAATGAATATATGAATAATCAAATGTTAATATTTATATCAGAATAATCCAACAATACACATATACAACATTTATTACTGAATAACAAAATAAACATAGTGTTTTTATGTTCTCATTATACTTACTATTTTTATTTGAACGTACTTTATATTGATATCGATATATTATATATATATAGATATAGATCTAATATATATATATATATAGATATATATATATAGATATAATATATATATATGTTCAGATTCATTTGAGACCATGCTAATTTTGTAATACCGTTAAACCAAATCTAAAAATAATTTTAAAATGCAAAATAAAAGAAAAAATCCAGAAATTCTTTTTTTAATTATTATTTTCGTCACTTTAATTACCTAAAAAATAAAAAAAAAAATTACCGTTTTTTTTAAATACGTAAAATATTCTAATAGAATATTACACTGTAAATATTAACTATAAAATTTACCTTTTTTTTTAATATGTAAAAAAATGTATTTTATTTATTTATTTTTGGTATTTTTTTATTTTTTTTGGAAATTAAAAATTCCGAAAATAATATTTGAAAAACAAATTTCGAAAATTTTCAATTATTTTGCATTTTAAAATGTTTTTTTTTTATCTACCAAATGAGTGGCTAAGATTTCGTCTCACGGTCTCACAAAATTAGGTCGTCTTACATGAACCTAACTATCTATATACTATATATATATATATATATATATATATATATATATATATATATATATATATAAGTTCAGTTGAGACCATGTTAATTTTGTAAGACCGTGAGAGCCAATTTAAAAATAATTTTAAAATGCAAAATAAAAGGAAAAATCTGGAAATTATTTTTTTTAATTATTATTTTCGTCATTTTATTACCTAAAAAAATAAAAATAATAAAAAAAATATTGTTTTTTTTATTTTGAAAAATACGTGAAATATTATTAATAGAATATTACACTACAAATATTTCAATGTGATTTTTAAAATGTTTGAATATTCTACTAGATTTGTCAGATATGTAAAATATTCTAATACTCTACTAGAATATTTCACAGATTTATTTTATTTCTTTTATTTTATTTTTTGATACAAAAATGACGAAAATAATATTTTATAAAAAATTTCGTAAATTTTCAATTATTTTGAATTTTAAAAATGTTTTTTTATCTACAAAATGAGAGAGAGAGATGAGAGAGAGATTAGAATAGTACGAGAGTATCAAGAGATAGAGAGAGACTAGAGGATTGAAATTCTTTTATAATTTATCTAATGACTTTGCAAAAATAAATTTCCACAAATTTTTTCTAATGAGAAATAATGATGAGGAGAATATTGAGAAATGATTGGTAACTTCGAGATGAGGATGATGACTTTAGAGAAAGATTTTGGACAGAAGATGCGAGACGAGAGAGATGAGAGAGAGAGAGCGAGACGAGATCGAGAGATTTGAGAGAGAGAGAGAGAGAGGATGAGAGAGAGAGAGAGAGAGAGAGAGAGAGAGAGAGAGAGAGAGAGAGAGAGAGAGAGAGAGAGAGAGAGAGAGAGAGAGAGAGAGAGAGAGAGAGAGAGAGACCTCATTACCTTTATCTGCATTCCATCATTGTGCAGCCCATAAAAATTCCAAAGTGTGCAACTTCGTTCTTCTCTCTTTCTCTCTTGACATCACATTAATTCTCTTAATTTGTCCTTGGAGAGATTGAGACTCCAACTTATTAGATACACAATGTTATTGTATACGGTGGTTTTACTGTCGACATTGGGAGGTCTTCTGCTTCTAGGTGGGAGGGGAGTGGCTGAGGGTGCGACCGTCAAAGTGGCCAACATTTCTAAGGTAGAAAATGCTACTTATTTTCGTATATATTATGGAAATACTTTCAAAGTCATCAAGAACGGGTTGGATGGCGAGAGTTATCTTCTTATCCAGGTATCTAATTCTATCTGTGCTGCCTTTCGTCTAACTGTTAAATGAATCTTTCTGGCATAATATAGAAAAGCATTTACGACATAATCATCAAATAAAAAACATTTTTAGCGTTGTTAGATGTTTACGGCATATGTTTTATAGACTATTGTTGATATATTTCCTTCATAAAATGATGGGTATTTGTATTATTTCAAATGATTTCATTATTTGTTTATGGTAAAACCGTAAAAGAGATGTGAGAAGTTTACCCCACCACTTAATCTGTCGGCTTTTTCTTCACGGGTTCTAAAACTTCAAATCACCTCTAAAAGATGATAGAAGTCACGGGTCGCCGCAACATAAATTATTCAATTAGTTGTATATTACCGATCATGTGTTGAAATGTTTTTCTGGGAAAGCGGCTAAATTGTTACCAATGCTCTTTGGGTAATTCATTGAGCAACCCATACAATTGATTCATAATATAGATTATCAATAACAAAATAGATTTTAATATTTGTTTATAAAATCTTATTTTCTTTTGTTGGGATACAAAACAATTCACCACACACTTCAAATATTTTACACTAGCTTGGTCTTTCAAATCAAATTAATTCCCAAAGAGGCTACTTCCAACCAAAAAATCAAATCAAATTAATTTTGGCCTAATATGTATAAAACTAAAATATAGAGGTTACTTCCAACAAAAAAATCAGGGGGGCAGAGCCCCCCTCGCCCTAATAAATGTTACGCCCTTACCTAATTCATTGGAATCGGGAGGTTTTTGTCACGGTTCCGTCACTAACTATTTATAAATTAATGAACATTTTTTATTATAGTCTATTAGATGTTAGGTGTTGAATCTTATTGAACTATTTTAATGAATTTTGTTTATATATTTAAAAGTTTATATTTTACTTTTTACATATGCCTTTAATTAAAATATTAAAGGACCGCTCGTGCAGGTCTCTACATGTAATACAATAATATTGATGTACTTTAATTTTCACAAAACTTATGTTTTTTCTCTTTGCAAGTTTCCATCTTGAATCTCCATCTTTGTTTAATCATTTACACCCAGTTCAACAATTAAAAACCCATGTTAAATTAAAAATAAAAATAGTAAATCAAAATTTCAGGTTAAAATGTATAACCTTTAATTTCAGATGTTACCAAATGATTGAAAATTTTAATGTTATGATAAACATATTTTAATCAATATACATTAAAATATCGGTGCAGAATAATTCAAAGATGGCAACAAAGACAAAATATTGCACATCAAGAATCAAATCATTTGTCATCCCATTATCAAACTATTCCGTGGATGCCAATTATTTTCCAGGTACTATATTGAACTCATCATATTTTGTTTTTACAGATAATTATTGTTAATAACATCATTTAAGTTATTGTTTTGTGATACATGTTTTCATTAATGCTACTTTCTTTTAAATTTATGCAGTTTCTTTCTTCGAGGTGAGATTATGCATTTGTGTGTAAGTCAAATCGTTCTCTTTTTATAAATACTCTTATAATATTTTCAGAATTTTGCATCTTTGAATTATGATTAGCCTCTTGAAATTTAAATTTAAATATTAATGGATATTAAATATCATCATTATAGCATAGCAAAAAAATAACAGTTTTTTTTTTAAAACCGTAAACTAATCTAGTCCTAATATACATCTAATTCCAGTTTACATAGTTCAACAATTTGTGTAAATGTTACATGTACGATTGTTGTTAGAGATTTAATGATCATGCCATGGTTTTCAAATTAACAAGTGTTAATTTGATGGGAAATTAGTTTGTCGAGCTAGATTGAGCTTGTATCTTAACTATCGGATTGCCAAAAACATGAACAGCTTTTAGGACTCCTGTCAAACATGAAGGGTATCACATCAGAAAGGGTAGCTTCTGCATGTGTACTTAAACTTTACAATGGAGGACAAATTCAGATGCTTAACAAGAGTGAGCCACAACAATTTTCTCAATATACAGCACACTTCATTGCTGATAATAATGTCAATCAGCAAACGCAATCATGCAATTATGTTACCTTTCTACCCATGGGCGAACAAGCTCCTCTCCAAGTACCTTTTTTTTCTCTTTCTAAATCTCTCTATAGATTTATGTCTCTATATTATCATTAATATGAACTTTTTTATTGTTAGAGGGCGGAGTGGATCAAGTACCTTGGAGTTTTTGTAAACATGGAAGTGAGAGCAAATCAAATTTATGATGCTGTAAGTGTAAAAAGGTTACCATATTTGATTTTGTTTAAGTTGTTACGTCTGATGATTTTTTATGTGTTCGTTATGCAGGTGAAAAACAATTACATGTGCTTGGTTCAATCCGCAGCTAATAAAACCAAAAAATTCAAACCAATAGTTGCATGGATGGAGTTTTTTGATGTATGTATGCCTAGAACTAGTAATTTTTTTTTATCATCGTTATACCTACTCACAAGACATGTGGGTCCCACATAAGTTGTAACGCCTGTGTTGGTAGGTCGATGATGCTAAAAAAAATATGTTTAATTTTCTCTAATGCAGGGTGTTTGGTCTTTCACCGTAGAAGAATACAAGCTAAAGGTACATAGACTAGAATCTTTGTATATTGTTAATTTCATTACAAATCAACTATTCTAGTTAATAAAATACCTAAAGAACATTAAATAATGTTAAAATAAGCGATTTTTCGATGACTCCAAATGGTTGTTTTTTGGAAGAATACTAGTTAAAATTGCTTGCGTTGAGTGTTCATTTTGCACACTAACAATTATAACCATTGGACGTGGTGTTTCCATTTTTGTTTTTGATTCATCCAAATAAATATGATTTTGACTCTTTTACCCTTTGTTTTAATTGAAGAGAAAATCATAAAAACGTTATAAAGATCAATTCACTTTTATTTTAAGTGGATGAATCAACAACACTATCACCTCCTATAACCAAACCATTAGTTACAATGAAACTACATTGGTCAAAATTGAAATAAGATAGTCCAAATTAATCTAATATAACATTTGTACTTCTGCAACAGTATATAGAAGATGCGGGTGGAGAGAACATCGATGAGTCCATCAACAAAGTAACTTACAACATCTCCATTGGTGATGATTTGGAACAACTTCAAGCTATCTTATGTGTAGGTTACATTCAATATTATTCAAAACTATCCAACAATTTATACTCGACTTCTTACTTCTAGAAATCTAGACCATAGATGTAGTGATCGATGGAACATTAACTCCTGACCCACTGAGTTACAACGCCTCCACATTTCTTCAAAACCTCAATGTAGAAGACCAATCTTGTTTCTCATTTCTTTCTTCTCAAAGCTTGTGGAGATACGATAAACGCATTTCAACTGACATGGCTCTTGGTATGTTCTATTAAATTCTTCATATTTGTCGACGATTCAAAATTCTAGGTGTTTTAAACATGTTAGAAGATCTTCCTACAACTAATGTTAGTTGCAAAGTATTATCCAATCTTTTGTTCTCATTTTAATCCACAAATCGAGTAAATTGAAAAAACCCTTAGAAAATCCTTGAATTAAATAGGATTGATATTTTCTTCATTTTATTGTAAAGATTGGTTCGATGGAGCAGTGTCTCAGCCTCAGCTAGTCCTTGCGGACCTAGTAGAAGTTTTCTTTCCATCAGGGAATTATACAACTACTTACTTTCGAAACCTTGTAAAGGTAATTAAAAAAATTTCATGGCCACTAACACTGATGCATTTGGACTAATATTATGTATTTCTACCTCCAAAAATTCAGGAAGAACCGGCTATAAGCATTGGTCCTGAAAATTGTGATCGAGATAGCTCAATCGCCATGGAGCCAACCATTGTTATATGCCCATAAATTATGATTTTTGGTTTAATCATTTTTTGGATCTGTTGATTTTTAAGTAGTGTCATTTTTACTTCTTACGTCTTCGTTGTGTAACATTTTGTGGGGACTCAAAATTTTAATACTTAGTTTCAACTCAAAATAGACAAAAGACTATGATGAATTTCCTTGTCATTTATTGGATTCATAGTGTGTGTAATACTTATTCTTATTTATACTGGGGTAACTTGATATGAATGTTGTTCTTAAGATGGTATCAAGCTAACAATAAGTTAAAGTGATTTATTCTTATACATAATTTAAGTGATGATTCATTTTTATATATAATGAAAGTAATTTTTTTTTCTTATACATAATTGTTGAGATTTAAATTTATGTCATTATCTTTTGATTATTTCTTGTTAAACAAGATTATCGTTATCTTAGTATAGTTGGCTTCCTTATCTGATAAGGATTCCTTAATTATAAAAGGATCCCATTATAATCGTATACTGTTTTCTAAGGAATAAAATTTAGATTTGATCTTAGTTTTATTAAGGTATCAGAGCATTACCTGGGAATACAATCCTAGTGCTTGATAACAATGGCTGTCGGAGACAAGTCGGAGTCCTCCACAGGAGGAGACAAGTCGGTTCTTGACATATCTTCGCCTCACTTCCTCACAAATTCTGATCACCCGGGACAAAATTTTGTAGGAGAAAACCTCCTACGGGATGGGAATTATAGTGATTGGGAAAACGAGATGACTAATGCTCTTTTTGCCAAGAACAAGATAGGGTTCGTTGATGGAACTCTACTCATGCCACAGGAAGATTCTGCAGACTTAACCAACTGGAGGATATGCAATGCGATGGTGCGAGGATGGCTAGTGAGCTCCATGGAGAAAGACATAAAGAGCGGTATGAAATACGTTGTAACAGTTCGTGACATCTGGTTAGATCTGAAGGAGAGGTTTGGAAAAGAAAATGCTCCACGAGCATATGAACTTCAACGTGCAGCCACTAGCATAAAACAAATCAACTTGAGCGTATCCTCCTATTACATGAAGTTAAGAGGTGTGTGGGACGAAATTCAATCTATCAGCCAAATCCCGTCTTGTTCATGTACCGGGTGCAAGTGTGAAATTAATAAGAAAATCACCAAACTTCGTGATAAGGAACGTTTATATGACTTCCTTATGGGATTGAATGAAGAATTCAATGCAGTAAGAACTCAAATCCTCAGTAGTAGCCCACTTCCCACTTTAAATACCGCATATCACCTTGTCAGCCAAGACGAACAACAACGACAAATCGGTAATGCACGTAATACTAATTCAGAATCTTCGGCATTTCAAGCAGCAGGAAAATACAATCCTCGTCAAAAAACTGGTTCACAGTTGAAGACAAATGGTGCACACATTGCCAAAAATCAGGACATGTGATAGATGACTGTTTTGAGATAATTGGCTATCCAGAATGGTGGAACACAAAAACCACAAACTTAAAAAACCAAACAGGAAAACAAGGGACACAAGCTAATGTTGTTTTTGTTGCAGAAGATTTTGGTCACCAAACGATCACAAAGGAAGAGTATGCCAACCTTATGAAATGCTAAAGGCTGCCAAAACAGTTGATGATCATCCCAAAGCTAACATGAGTTGTAAGATTAATTCCAAGGCCTACATGACTGGTAAGAATGAAAACCAAACTTCTTGGATTATCGATTCAGGGGCTAGTGATCATATTACCTCTCATAAAGATTGGTTAAAAGTTGTCAAAACCAATCGACATAACTCTTCGGTCACCATTCCTAATGGTGCATCTATACCAGTTAAACATGTTGGAAACATTTGTAAACTAACAAGTGAAAGACATATAACGGCTAGGGTTTCACATTATTATCAAAGACAAGTACAAATATAATGAAAGGGAAAGACATAATATATAGACAAGCTAATTAGGGTTTCCTAGCGAAAAGGCCCAATCATAAAACCCAATACAAAATAAAGCCCAAAATCTTATTAGGCTAACATCCCGCTTCAAACTCACAATGCAACAGCAATAAGCATTGAGAGTTTGTCAGACAGAAAATGGAATCGAGGAGAAGTCAACGGCTTCGTAAGAATATCAGCAATCTGCAAAGAGGAAGGAACATAAGGAAGGGAGATAGTGCCCTTCTGGAGATGATGACGTGTGAAATGACAGTCAATCTCAATGTGCTTTGTGCGCTCATGAAACACTGAATTCTTGGCAATCATTATCGCACTCTCGTTATCACAATACAAAGGGGTAGGCTGAGAGATGTGAACGCCCATATCTGCAAGAAGCCATCTCAACCAAACAATCTCACAAGTGGCGATAGCCATGGCTCGATACTCAGATTCTGTAGAAGATCGAGAAACAACATCTTGTTTCTTGCTTTTCCATGATATCAATGAATCTCCAAGAAAAACACAATACCCAGTAGTGGACTTACGATCATAAATATCACTATCCCAATTTTCATCACTATAGGCACGCAACTCAAGAGAGGATGAAGAAGGAAACATAAGAGTGTGAAACTGAGTACCACATAAATATCTCAAAATACGAAGAACAGCTCCCCAATGAACAGTAGTAGGAACAGTGACAAACTGGCTAACCACATGAACTGCATTAGCAATATCCGGTCTAGTGACAGTCAGGTAAACCAAACTCCCGACAATGGTACGATAAAGGCTTGGATCTGATAATGGAACACCATCAGTTGGAGAGTACTTTGCATTACTCTCTATAGGCGTATCAACTGTTCGATTATCTATGAGTCGTGCACGTTCAAACAAATCTGAAATATACTTCGTTTGAGATAAAAGATAATCCTTTGGAGATTGAGCAACTTCAATCCCCAAGAAATAACGAAGCAATCCCAAGTCTTTCATAGCAAAACGTTGAGCCAAATCACGCTTTAAAGACTCTATACCATCATGATCATCACTAGTAATAATCATGTCATCGACATATAAGGAAAGAATAATCCGACCTGCATTCGTACATCGAATAAATAGAGCCGAATCATGGTTACTTGGTTGAAAACCAAGAGAAGTAATCACCGTAGAAAATTTCTCAAACCAAGCACGAGGGGCTTGTTTGAGGCCATATAGAGCCTTCCGAAGTCGACAAACTTCACCTGATCGGTGAGCAATACCAGGGGGAGGAGACATGTATACTTATTCATGAAGATCACCATTCAAGAAAGCATTCTTGACATCCATCTGATAAATCTTCCATTGGCGAATGGAATAAACTGCAATCAAGGTGCGAACAGTCGTTGTTTTTTCAACAGGAGCAAACGTCTCCTCATAATCCATACCATACTTTTGTGCGTACCCTTTCGCAACAAGTCTGGTTTTATAACGCTCAACGGATCCATCAGACTTTGTTTTGATTTTATAAACCCAACGACAACCAATCGTGTGTTTTCCGAATGGAAGCGGAACCAGATCCCATGTATGAGTCTGATAAAGAGCTGCAAGTTCCTCAGCCATAGCGGTCTGCCAAAGGGGATCATAAATGGCCTCTTTGTAGGATGTTGGCTCAGAGAGATGATGTATATTAGCAATAAAAGAGGCAAAAGCCGGTGAGTAAGAGGAATAGACAAAGTCAGGAAGCTTTGTGGACTTCTTATTACAATAAGGCCTCAATAGAGGGGGGGTCTTGGTGATTTGCAGGCAGAGGATCAACGATAGGTGCTGGATCAGCCGCATGTGGTGGATCAGCAGCAAGTGGTGGATCAGTGACATGTGGTGGATCATCGATGTCAATGCTAAATGGATCAATAGTACGAAGCTCCTCTCGGGTTGCATCATGTGACTGAACTGGAATGCTATAGAATGGAATATGCTCCAAAAAGATGACATTGCGAGATACATACAGTTTCTGATTTGAAGGATCATAGCACCGATAACCTTTCTGACCAATACCATATCCCAGAAAAACACAAAGAGCTAATTTTGAAGACAACTTACCTCTTTCTACACGAGGCTTCAATACAAAACATGTACACCCAAACACTCGTAATGAAGAATAATCTGGGAGTTGTCCAAACAACATTTCATAAGGAGACTTCCCTGAAGTGTACGCAGTAGGAATGCGATTAATAACATAAGTGGCGGTATGAACAGCTTCTCTCCAAAACATATTGGGAAATTAAGCAGAGAGTAGTAAGGATCTGGCAGTTTCTAGGAGATGTCGATGTTTTCATTCTGCAACACCATTCTGCTGAGGAGTGTCTGTACAAGATGATTGATGTATAGTGCCATCAGATGCCAATAATTGTTTAAAATCATTGGAGGTAAATTCTCCTCCCAGATCACACCGAAAACATTTTATGATAGCAGAGTGTTGAGTCTTGACAAGAGCTCTGAATTCACTATATATGGTGAAAAAGTCAGACATGCGCTTCATAAAATAAACCCACGTATAACGAGTGTAATCATCAATGAATGAAACATAATAGTTAGCTCCTGATTTGGAGGTGATCGGAGAGGGACCCCACACATCAGAATGCACAATATCAAAGGGAGCAACAGAACGAGTGACACTTTTATTAAACGGTAAAGCAGAAAATTTTCCCAGTTTACAACCACAACAATCAGAAATATCATCAAATTTCAAAGAGCCTAATACACCAATGGAAACCAAAAACTGTAAACAAGACGCTGACACATGTCCCAAACGAGAATGCCAAATATAAAAAGGAGACGATGAAGGGTTTAAACGAAAAGACGACAAATCGACACTAGATGCAGCAACATCAGCAACATGTAGCTGCTCCAAGACATAAAGCTCCCCAAGTCTACGGCCTATCCCAATCAGCCTCCGAGACCGAATGTCCTATACACAGCAGAATGAATCAGAAAAGAAGACCCAACAACCAGATTTACACAACTGACTGACCGATGCAAGATTCAAAGCAAGTGTAGGAATGTAATACACATCTGCGTTAGATATATAAGGAGTGACAATAGAACCAACACCCTCTACTGACATGGTTGTAGCACTAGCAGACATAACAGAGACAGGTGTACGAGAAAATAATGAAGCAAAGGATGAAAAATGTGGCGACATGTGATGAGATGCACCAGAATCCAATATCCACAAGGATGAAGGAATACCTGACGTGTTGGATGAAGACAGACCTGAATGAGACATGGAAGCTGACATGACAGTTGGATTGGTAGCTAAGAACTGTCTGAACTGCTCAA